GAACGTGAAATTTCATACCTGAATAACTACATCTTTCATGTTGGTCACCGTCACCTCTTCTCAGCAGGTAGCGCATTTTCATGTATAAAAAATATTTCTGTTATTCTACTCTACTCCTATTTATAAGGACAAAATGTACGGGGAAATATATGTGTGAAGTATGCCTAATATACGCGTACGCGTAGAATTATTGGGGTCAAAAATTGCGATACACCTTTCCCCACTACCTACAACCCCCCATCTCCAATTGTTCACCTCTGAACAATCTCAAAAATGATAAAGAGTCTGAAACGTCAAAGACGAACCTTGAGCGATTTTTGTTTTTTCGATTTTTTCCTCTAGCTCCGCCGCTACATGACCGATTTACAAAAACTTGGCATAGTAGTAATATTGTGTGAAAACACCCGAGCAGTACTACAAGATATATTCGGGCCAAGGATTAGCGGACAGACAGACCGACGGAAATGTGTGATATGGTTTTTCGTGATGTAACATAAAACTAAAGAATATCTTATTTTCGAAATGTTTCGCGATTACAATACCTCCTTGCAGTGGCGCTGGAAGTAAAACGAAAAACTATCGAAAATAAAGTATTCAAAAAGTCTCTTATCTCTGGTCCCTTTTGATCTATTTCTCAGGTTACTCTGTCTCTGATGATATGGTCTTTCAAAAAATTGTCACCATTAGCGCGTTACTGCAGTGACTGAGATTACGCGACGATAAAAAGACCAAACACAACAAGGGAGACGAATTATACAGATTTTCGAAATCTGCCACTCTTCGAGAACTTATCGATGAACAGTCATGTGAATGCGTTGAGCATTGTTGTCAGATCTCCGCGTTGTTATATGCCCATGCCTAAACATTCTAACGGGTTTTGTGCTACATTACTGAATGAACATAATAAAGAAGGTTGCCTTGACATTTTCTAGGACATACTACATAACATAAACAAGCAGCATCAACAATATTTATTGTGTTCGTTACATAAATCGAACTAATTATTGACAAGATTCTCATCGTAAGTTATATCAGTTCAGAAATCTGATTATAGGTATAGGTAATGACGAGAATCATAAAGTTTGTAAAGGTCTACATCTTGAATTAAGAGTTCTATGTATAATTTAGGGTTGGTTACGATAGATAAATAATAGATTCATTTACCATGACATGGTTTTCATTTGTAAATCAAAATTTCATATGTCAGGTGATTCAAAGTTCTAGGAGGAGTAGTCGAGTAGAAGTGAAGCGTGATTCTCTATTTTTGAAATCTGGCTATCAATCAAGGGCAGCTGCCCCTCCCCCTTTCCCTAGCTCAGCAAAAATTAAATGGAGTCATTTCTTACAAAAATAAAATTATTCATTCAAGATTATCCACAAGATAAATCAATATCCATTAGATGAGAAATTACTTAGGACTAGCTGAAATCTATATCAGATATAAACTTGATACGTGTGTTACAATATCGAACGTCGCCTTTGGGATCTCGGAAACAGTAAAACGAATGTCACACGATCAGTATTTATTGTGGTCCGTACCATCAGTGGATTTCTGCGTAACATTATGCATCAATAATTACTGATGTCCAGTCAGTAAATACTGATTTTGTGACATTCGCATAAACGACGCGGAGTACTTCATGAGGGCAAGTTGCTTAGGCAAATAAAAAAATGGAGCTTAGACAAGTTTGGAAAGTCCAAATATTTCCGAATAAAACCTAAGTCTTTTTTTTGTTTTTGTAATTAGACCAAAACAAAACGTTTTAAACATCCAAATTGTCTACAAATTCCAAATAAATCACTCAATCACATTGCGAGTTTTCTCTTCAACATCGTGGCATAATTAGAATGTCGATCTGACGTCTCAGCTCTCAGTTTTTTTAAATTGTACCGTTTTTGATGTGTTCATTATTAACTGTTAAATAATATAAATGAGTTACATTATGTTGTTCCTCATTTGATGAACTTAACTCAACTAGAAGAAAGTTAGGCACTTGAAGTTTCATATCAATGCGTCACATGTTATCATCTTTGATATTCTATGAAATAAATGACTGTATGATAATTTCGAGGCGTACTCATTTTATAAAAATTTATATCATGCTATAATATTTGAAATCAGAATTAAAAGCTATTAGTGTTCTATTTATGCCACCTTGCAGAGATCAGAAGTGGCAATATCAATGTGCAGTTTATTTTGAAATCCTATCTCAAATAAATTCAGAAAAAATTAGATATGATTTTGGGAAAATTCGTCCTCTTTTCGGTGTATCTCTGCATCAAAACGTTTTAAGTGTTTAGATTTATTACTTAAAAAAGTAACTCGCACAGAGTTTGCTTGAATGTTTCAAAACAGCAAACCTAGTAGTTTTCTATATCAATATGGATTGTCAAATCGTCGTGGAAGACTCTATGTAAATGAAATGCAAATAGAAAGAAAGACATCAAGCATGTAGATATGATTTGTGGAACTTCCACCAAAAATGTTTTTGAATGTGTCCCCTTTCCGTTTTGAGCTGAGTACGCCCTTGATACCATACAGTAATTTTCAAAATCTATAAAGGGATTACCTCGATTACTTGAAAGTGAAGGTCTAGAGACGTCAGACAGATTTCTGGTTTAGAATAACTGTAGATCATAAAACCCAGAATCGACTAAAGAAAATAGTTTTGATGAAACGATTACATTGTGTTATTAATAAATAAAAATATATTAATGAAATCACTAAATCATAATCCCTTATTTGGTTTTATTCATCCTTCCATTAAACTGCATTAACTGTTTTTTAATAACCGATATTCAACAACTGATATGATTTTCATAGTTCAAAAAGACGTCCAAAGAAATTTAATTAACAAAAGCTTCAAATCTGTATTCCATAAATACGTGGCATAACAATATGTATATAGACCTCCATTGTCATTTTAGCAACATGTATTACCAGGTTAGACAGGTGAATGACCTCTAGACAAAAACCTCAAAATCAAAATTCATACAGTAATTTACACACTATTATAAAAACCACGATTTAATTTTTAGACTTCTCAGTTAACCATGATTAGGTACTCTTCAAGCTTTAAAAAGCTTTTAGTTTTGCTAAATCTGAAATGTCTATTTTGTGTGTTCTTCTTGTTTTTTTTTTCTTATGGAAAGCTAGCTGAAAAATTTTGTGATTGTAATGCTGCGAGGTTTTTGAAAAATACATCCGTTCCATACAAGATTGCGATAGAAAGACAAACTTTGGAGATAGAAACAGTTGGTGCTGCAGTATTTTGTGGTGCTCCAGAATAAATATTAATGGTAAGCGATATTTTTTTATTATGAATGCAAAATATCTTAGCCGAGATTTAGTTTGAGACATTTTGTAATTGAAAAATCGAATGATGCAATGCCAAAGTAGAATCTATCAAAAAAAGTGATATTGCATATAAACGATAATAAACTAACAGTAATCTATTTTCTGAGCCATTGTAAACAAGTTTACGAAATCTAACTTACCAAACCACAACATCACAGATCACTATTATTTAAAGAGCCACAAGTTATCACCACGAGAAAAAATATTAAACTTATCAAGTCCTTATTGATGCACTATGCAACAGAAAAAACCATTTGAACTTCACCGCGGTGTCATATCAGACTCATCCCGACTGTCCCGTGTTTTGATTTGATAGTGCGAAAAAGTATGATCAGCAGCGCCTAGAGGCTACTGAACCGATCATCTCAGAGTCTGAACTGCGCTTGCGTCTTCCATCTGTGTGCGATATTTTTAAAATGGCATAAATAAATTAGCGAATAAATACATGTGTTATCTTCATAGTGGTGGGAAGACATTTCGGAAGTCGATAGGCGCTTTTTCCATTCAGGAGCAACGAACTCAGGGGCAACATAACATAGAGCACCGAATTGTCTACCGTGATTATTTTCTGAGTCATTGGTTTCAATTTTCATATACTTTCGCGCGAATTCAAATGCGCAGGTGACCATCAGATTGTTTTTGGGATATTCGGGATCGTATGGACGTTTATTAGCTGTTTGGGAGCAATGAACTCAGGGGCATCATAACACAACGAATCGACAACGATTTTTCTAGCATGAAATTTCGGAAGATCATTCCTTATTTTCTGAGTCATGTAGTTTTTATTTTCACGTGTTTTATGCGGATTTAAAAAGAGGACGGTAATATCTGCATGAGTGGTTTTCCTATTCAGGATCAATGAACTCAGGCGTAACATAATCCAGCCTCGGCGTCATGCGATTTTCCTTTTAATTTATTTTTTATGGATTTAAAGCGCATTAAAGCACAGGTGATCTGTGATACCATATGTTTGTTGATTAATTTGTCCAGATCATAGAAACATTTACAAATTCAGGAGCAACGGGGAGGTGAGGAGATCGTTTTCTAATTAACGTGTGACAATCACCTTATCTCAATGTTTTTGATTTTAGGGGGTTCATACGCACCCAACCTCTGTAGTTCTACGCACCTATTAGACATATTTCACACATCATACATTTGCTCTTAAAACAGATTGATAAAGAAATGCACTCGATACTGTCTGGAATCACCGGCGAGCCTACCGTCTTGGTAAGTGATCTGGCCTTACTGCTGTGCTGTCGCGTCTGAAGCGTGCCGACAGGCAACTTTGCCAGAGGAACTACCGGTAGGGCAGGTAACGAATGTATATAGACTAATTTTGTGGGCATGTTTGATTGACTTGATCCGTTTAATTTCTGTTATACGTGTTCGTAACTAACTTTTTTTCTCAGAGGGTCTAACTTGTGCTGAACAAAATCTGGTAAGGGCTGATGACACCATTACTCGTAGGGAATTGTCGTTTTCTCTCCGGAGTTATAGAAAATGATCTTGAAATTTATCGTAAATTACATTAATTGATAATTTTTGGGCCATTCGATGTATCAAAGTTGATGACATTTTAGGTTTAGAAACCACAAGCAATCATTCATTTTAACTAGCGAATAAAATGCCCAAAAATCACCCAATTGTTCTTCAATTTTTCCCACCGGCAAAATAGGGTCCCAGATTTTGCTTTGGCCTCGGGTGCCTTCAGCCGCCGACACCGGTGTTCCACCACAGGTCTCTACATAGCTTAAGATAGCCCTGAGTCCATCTCCTAATCCTTCTTCTTCAACGAGCTCTCCAATTTGGGTTGGGATTAGATTTCCCGTGATATGTGTAAATGATTTGGTCAGAGCCTAAAGGAGAATGTACTTAAAATGGTATAAACTGCTCACTCCGAAGTTAAAAACTTTTTGTTTTATATACATCCAAATGCCATTTTTATAACCCTTTGAAATTGCTAACCTTGCCGTAAAAAGTCTCAGATCGGTGCGGAACTCCCCCAATCCGGCAACGTGCCCCTCCGAACGGTCCGGTATTTACAGAAAGCGGTAGTGTTGGGAGGCTCGGCGCTTGGCGTCAACGGCATCGCTCGCCGTTGTGCCTGTCGTTCCGTCGTCGGAAGGCATTGAACCCGCGAGGTTATTCACCGCCAAATATGGATAAATCGTTAAACACGGTTGTAGTTGATGTTGCTTGGAGCTCTGGCTTGTGTTTTGTGTTGCTGGACAAGAAGGCATACCACAGAATTGATAAGGTCCACTGCTGAATCTGGACGATGTCGAATTACGTAACGCTGCGAATTTCGGCAACTGCATCATAGTCCGGACAACCGGGGCTATAATACGGAATTATTGAACCCATGAGGTTATTCACCGCCGAATATGTATAAGTCCTTAAAAACGGTTGGTGCTTTTACGCTTGGGAGCTCTGGTGGCTCTGGCTTTTCGTTTGTTGATGCTGTCAGGATTGCCTATCACAGAACACAGAATGCTTATTTCCCGGTGACGAATTTTATGGCCGATGCGGAATTGATTGGTCACTGCGTTGAAGTCGACGAGAATTCCGGTAACTGCATCATAATCAAGTTGACGAGGGACAACGCTTTCAAGAACCCTTGCACATGCGAAAAGATGCCAAATCTAGGTTTGGGGATGTTACGATATCACCGTTCTTTGCTAATTACTATGTCAATGATCAATTCAAGGATTCTCGAAAAGGTAAAATACTTGTTTGCTGTTTACTTGGACAGTGGTAGATCTAGGACCAGTGGGGCCCGAAGCACGGAGTTCCTACAGAGCCCTTATTAAGTAACTGCAAATTATGACCTGATCGGCATAACTGTCACTTTGAAACCAGCTATCATTCAATTCATGTTTACTTGTAGTAACTATGTGTGTTGCCGTCGAGATACTTGAGTTGTGCTTCGGCTCAGATGTCGTGTAACATCTGCTTCATAGATGACAGTAGCGGAGGTCATTGATAGCTTCTATGGCCTAAGCTATGAGGTCGTTGTGATTTTGGAAACACATTTTTTCTACTCTGCGTCCCATAAACCGCGTTCTGGGCCCCCTTGACTACCCAGGGTCCTATGCAGAGTGCCGCCTGTGCCTTATTTCAGATCGACTACTTCCCTTGGAGTTACTCACGTATCTTGCAGCCAAGCGGCCGAAGTATTATCCGTCTTAAGTCCTAGGCACATAGCAGACGTTATTTGGAAATTTCATTCGATTCATAGGCATTTGAGCTACCAATCAAGAAGGAAGAGTTCATATACGTATTTCAGCGATTCTTCTAATAATCTGCGTAGCAAATATCGATATAAGTGAAAGATATGGCAACGTATAAAATAAGAAACTTCTCATCTCCAGGATATTGCAATTGCGATTTTTTTCAAACATCTACAGCATTACAAGCAAGAGCAAGCAATAAAGAGATAACGTAGTGTTATTGTTTACGTGATCTGAGAGTGTGTGTAATGTAATCGGTCGTTCACACCAGCTGGTAAAAATAGACGCGCCACTGCTGTTGCGGGCCTCGCTCTATCAACACAGCTTTTTCGTGGTAGACTAGTTGACAAAGGCACAATTCTCCATACATTTCCCACGCCAGAAATATCCCCAAATTGAGATCCAATACGCAATACATCATTAAAACATGTCATATTTGCGTATTGCGTATTTTTTTACATTTGTGCTCTTTCAAAATGTTGTTTTGGTAAGGTGGAAATTGCTGTATATTACAAGGGCGAATCCATGCCCTGTGCTTCAATTGTCACAAAGGTGATGCCGCCCCCCCCCCCTCCGCTCTACAATCTTCAATCGTAGATATCCCCTTCCCGAGACGAATATCATGAATTCTGCTCCCGCTGCTCTAGACAGCTCCCTAAATCCGCAACAGCGACTAAGTAACCCCCTGACTGGACCCGCCCTTGTATATTAGTACCTTCAAAACCGACACGTAATCACAAATCCGAGCATTTCATTTTCCTTGTTCTCCCCAAAAGTGTTCTTACATCTTACATTACAGGCTTTAGTTCTATAGCCAATATTCAAGGTTTGCATATAGCGTTCTTTATTGATAAGTCTGTTGCAGTTTTCGTGTTTGAAACACTCTGTCCTGATTCATCCTTAATTTGCTCCAATAAAACAAACATTTGCCATTTCAGTAGCATGCTATAATCTGCTAATGAAAAAATGTATTTCATTTAGTTAATGATGTCTGATGCTGTGTAAAGCTGGTTGTATTCATTACAAGTAAGGTATTAAATTATGGCTTCATTCTCAGAAACTTGGTTTCACCTCAACGAAACTTTGTTGTGAGGTCGTAATATTATATACTGTTGTTTTAGAAAGTAGGCGTTTTTACATCGGACTTCAAGCAGTTTTTGGTTAATTCAAACGGCAAATCCAGCTAACGGAAAATAAATAAGAGGAGATGACTTGGTCGAAGAAGAAACTCCTGGCTTAAGGACCTCCGGGTCTGGTTTGATGAATTATCAGCAGAACTTTGTCCTACAGAATGATCAAAAATGAAGATTGACTTACTGATGACCTACCTACGGAAATAGGAGATGCACGACTAGAAAAGAATCTAGGCATATTATTTTCCTGTTTTACAGTTTGAAAATAAATACATATAAAATCACCTACTCGCCTATTTTTCACAACATACCAATCTCGCGATATCGATGCTTTGAATGTAGAATTTTGATTAATTGCATTATGAAAATCAAACCTCAAATACTGCGAAAATCTAAAAACGTGTATCTCCATAGAAAAACTATTGATATATCTAACTAACCATTTTCTAAGTTATATCGCCCGCCATTTGGGTGTTAAAGTAATTTTGTTTTATTAACACTACTCAATTAGAGAAGAACGACTATTTACTAAACCATAAAAAACGGCGGAAAGCAAGTCATCTCAGTCACAGGGTACAATGTCCGACCAATGAGTTTTACAATCAAGAACGGTGGTAAGCTGTACGGATAAATCATAAAAAATAAAAGCTTCATTGAACCCTCGAAGAATGCGTCACTATTTACTCAATGATAAGAAACGGTGGAAAATCAACCCATTCCCAGAGGGCAACGTCCTCCCTACCACTCCATACCGAAAATTCTCACTCACTGATTCGCGCACTGATAACACTCACTAGAACCGAACATCACTAAGACGTCACCTGTTTTCCGGGATCGCTGCCCTCTGATGGTACGCGTCGCCACTACGTCACTTGTGAAGGGGGTAAGCACCTCTAGGGTGAGCATACGCCGACAGCTGACATTTTGGACACTTTTCTTTCGTCTCTTTCTGGCCGGCCGAACCAGAGGAACTCCTTCCCGGTGAAATGGCCCGTCGAGCGTCTTGCGGCACAGCGGCTGTTACGACACCCTGGGCGGCGAAGCGATACAGCTGTGTTGCCATGCTTCGGTGGCATAAGAGCAGTGATTCGATCTTCTTGATTTCAAGGGCCCCTGTATTTTCTCTTTATTCAGTTATCGAAGATTTTTTGCTTTGCTCCTCGGGTTCTGTTCTGATATTCGTTCTGTTTGAAGTGTGAGACTCTCCAACAATCCTGCATACATTTCATTTGTCCTACCCCATTTGGACAGAAAACTAGGATGATTTTGCAATATACGGTTTCCTATTCGTTCAGTCAGATTTCAAGCTATCCCATGTCCAACTATAATCCGTATCATAGATCGTAGTCTGTGAAATCCTGTCTCAAATTACTGAAATCAGTCAAATATTCTTAGCTAGCGAATAGAAATTGTCAGTCGTCTTTTATAGCTATTTTATATCCTATAACCATTGCAACCATAAGTAATTCTAGCTACAATCAGCAATTAGCAATTGCCCATTTGGACCGTGTGATATGCATGGCTGTGCGCCATATACGCGCATGGCTATGTACCGTGTAAATATAGCCTTGTGTTGATATATTTTACCCTATTCTCATTTGTCTTATTCGAATAAGAGCATTTGAGACTCCTTAACTCTTTGAGGTACGGAATTATTGACTAAAAAATAATCTAGCGGTACGAGATATCTAAGTTTGTTTTATTAATAAAAAACGTAAAAAACCTTAATGCTTATACTAAAACAAAAAACACATTTTGATACTTTTTTTGTGTCCATTTTTTCAAAAAAAGAGGTGGGATAATATTTAACCCACCATACCGTTTCAGCGTTCATTTTGAGTGGTACCTCTGAAAACAGGTTTTACTTTTTCCTAAACATAGCGGAACTTGACATACACTGCAGAGCCAATTTGTTCGTATTTCGAACTCATTTGAGCTGCAGTACGCGCATCTACGTCTTGTAGACCGAATTGGTTGATGAGCGCTTTAAGTGAATCTAACAGCTTCTGCTTGATATGGTTTGTGATTTTTAATTTGGATCGGCAACAAACTTTCTGGATGTTGCGAAGTCTTGGCTATTTTGCTGGCCACTAGATGTTCTGCTATATTTAGTCGAAATTCTTTCATATTCATTTTAGTTTCATTTGATCAAGTATGAATAAATGCATTTACAATTGCAGCATCAATGAAGCAAAACAGGCTTCGGTGCCACCATTTTTTACTTTTACGATCAAGACCATAAACTGACCTCATCTGGTCAAACTTGTCAACAGAATTCATGTATCTATTGTAATCGGTTAGTACTTTGGGACACGGAACAGTCACCTCTTTTCATAGACTTATCTTCTTGAAATTATGGCATATCTCTTCGGGTACTTCTGACTGTGCCGCAGGCGTATATATTTCTTTCTGAACGAGTTGGTTGAGTAAGAGAACACTCGTAAAAAAGTTGTCAAAAAAAACTCTATGATATCTGTTTTCAAGCCCAACTGTTAACTGCATCACAACTCTATAACCTAAATTTTTACCTTCTGAAGGACCAGTCTTTCCAACTAAATGTAAAAATCCAAGCAGTATCCTGTTTGATCTGCAAGCATCCACACTTTATATCCCCGTTTTACCGGTTTAGCTAGCATATATTGTTTTAAAGTTGATCGTCCCTTAAAGTTTATCATTGATTCATCAACTGATAAATTCATGTGAGGACTCAAACAGGCCTTGAAATTTTTCTTCAATTGTTCAAGAAATGGTCGTACTTTGTATAGTTTGTCAAAGTTTGGGGAGCCACGGTTAGGCATCAGGTTATTGTCGTTCTGATGGATGTTGCTAAGAAGCCAGCCAAAACGATGAACGGTGCTTATTTTGCTTATATAAGGATCATGTAAGCTAGGCCGAGTAGTCCAATAATCTCTATATGATGGAAGTTTCTTTATACCCATCAAGAGATTGATTCCAATAAACGTTCTGATCTCGTCTTCATCTGTAGGTCGATATGCTTTATAATTTTTTTGAAAGTTCTGCTCAGCGTAGAGGTTTGTTTGAAATACTATATGACTAATCATTTCATCCGATATCAACAACTGGAAGAGATTATATGGTGTTTTATTGGGCAATTTCTGCAAAATTCCTGCAGTCCAGACGCATTTTCAAAATTTTCCGGTTGTTTATTTATAATATCTTTGGTCCACTTAATTTTCCACAGTTTTTGAAGCTCACTGAGAGGAACAAGATCTTCTGGGTCCCACTCAGGTTCCACGATTTCTTCATCAGAAATTTCAGGCAATAACATGTTCTCAGGCTCGGGCAGATTGATTCCTGCATCCGCATCCTCTTGCTCTGAAACACTGTCATTATCAGACCCTCCAGAAGGAATATCCTGATATTCTAGATCCGACGATTGGCTAATCGCGTTGATTTCTTCATAAAGCTCAGCTTCTGTCATGCCAACCAGTCTGAACGGTAATGGTTCTGTCATTGTTTGTCGCCTTGACATTATCTAAAATAATAAATTTCCGCATTATTACGAAAAAGTGTCGCTTTTGTCATTAAAATTTTTGTAAAAATTAATTCTTTACTTTGTATAATACATTACACCAAAAAAGTAAAAAACCCTTTTCAGCAAGGTGAGACAAAAAGCAACCCGCGTGTAAAATAACGTTTTCTATGCCACTTATAAAGCCTCAAACTTTGTATATATTTTAATATATTCACTATGAAGATAACCAACAATTTCTCACCATATTTAACTTTTTTTCTAACAAAAAATATAAAAAAACTTACCGTTTTTCAAGAATTAACCTGTCACGTCTAATTGTAAACAAATCACTATATTAACGAGCTACTAATTGATCAGTGCTGGCATCTATGCAATCTATGCAAGAGAAGTGTTAATTCAACCTATATACATGCTTCCGTATGGTACTAAAGAAAATAAACCGACGTACTTCAAGGAAAAATAAATAAAATCGATGGTTTAAATTACAACCCACCTTACATCAAACAGCACAGAAAAAGTGGTTCAAAATCTGTACCGGAGTACCTCAAAGAGTTAAGAAACAAAATATATGAAATTTTAACAAGCGCACAAATACATATACAATATCGTCTAAAGGAGTCAAAATGCATAATCTTTTCGATTGACTTGGAACGAGTGCTTGAGCCTATTGTGACCTTTGACGTTGTAATCTCTTACATTCTGGTCTAAATGTGGATAAACTGGGAAATAACTCAATATCACAAACTATTAAACTTAAAAACAAAGCTTTATGTTAGTAACACTTCAAACGTATGCGCGTAGCAGCTAGTATTATATAAAAAACAAAATGTCTGACTTAGAGAAATTAATGAATAACTAAAAATTAATTCAATGGTGACGAAATATTTTTATAAATTACTACTATAGGGAAATTTCACATCGGAAACTTATCCAGTGGTTCCATTGTCTGACCAGGCAATGCAGTCCTACTACCATAGTGGCTAACTTAAATCCCTAATTGTACGCCGAAATGGTAAGAGAGGCAACGCCGTCAATTGTAAGGCGTCGCGTGGCGTTGGACATTTGCCGCTGTGCCGCGGTGATGACGTAGTTGTTGGATCCCCGCCACTTTAATCGCCGTCGGTGTGTGTGTGTGTGCCACTGCCGATGCCGATCCAGGCATCACAACCAGGGTCGACGACCCAACAACACACTGAGTTGTGAATATACAGTGTGTTGCCGAATCCCGGTCGGCGCCATACGGGGTTCCGAAGGGGTTGAAGTGATGATGAAGATAGGTACCGATGCTATTTCACCTGGGATGATAGCATTTGTTGACGTTAGATTAGGTCTGGATAATTAGGAAAAGTTAGATAGAAGTTGAGGAAACTCGAAGGTGGTTGTACATGGACGCCTATATAGCAAAATTCAGAGGGGGGGGGGGTCAGGTTAGTCTTAGGTTAAGGCGTAAAAAACGCACACGCCAATCTTTGTTCTTTGTTCAATAGACATGCAGGTACTCAACTAAGAACATTTTACTCTTCAAATGGATCGCAGGGGGCATGTGCCCTTGCCTTGCCCCCTAATGGTTGCTCATGACCAGGTATATCTACTCATGGATCTCTCCAGAACAGGTGGAGGGATTGATTGGCGAGGCGAAAACCTCGCATTCACGGGAGAAATTTTTTTTCTCGATTTACTTTTCATAATTACTTTTGTTGAAAATTTGACGATTTTTTCACTTCCCACGCCTGGAAGTAGGTATTGTAATAGCGGAAATTTTCAAAGATGAAATATTATGTTTTTTGGATGTGATGACATGTACATCACGAAAAACCATGTCACCCATTTCCGTCGGTCTATTGGTAATTTTACGTACCTATCAGTACATATTTCACACATGAAAGATTTCCCGGTATATTTGTCCTTATAACGAGAGGATGATGCCATGCAACTGCGACATTCATACGCCGAAAGGCCTGGCTTGCGTCTAACAGCATTGCTGACAGGGCGCAGGAAAGCCAGTTTATGACGTGTTTAACTCGTATGGTCCAACAGCGTTGCCAGATGGTCGATACTTAGGGCAGGGAAGAAACTAGCGTTAATACATATGTTATCAAATGAGGGACTATTATGTTTGTACTAATGGTATAATATGTGCCTTTCTGGCCTATTTGACCCATTTATTTTTATCGTTTGTAGCTAACATAATCCTTCATGAACTGGGAAGTGCAGAGACAACGATTTAAAGTTTGAAAACCCTAAAAATGTTCAATTTTAAAGCTTAAAAATTCTAGCACGAAATATTCCGGACGCTATACTTGGGTACTAAAATGTAAGAGAGTAGCATAACACATTGTACGCTACTGAAAATGTGACATTGTGGCTTTAGACACACAGAAAAGAGTTTCCGCAACAGAAAAGTATTTATTTAATAATTATTATATCCTTTTTCCATCGGTATCGCCACCTCCGCCTATGATGAGGTAATAAATATTATTGATAATGGTCATTTTATTTGGATGCCTAAAAGGCATCTGCTTTGTTTATATTATGTTAAGTGGCTAGAGAGATGGAAGGGTGAGACG